ATGCTCTAAATTAAATTATTGAGCAAATTACCTCGCAAACACCAAGTTGCGGGTTAATAATAACCGCACATGTAACCATCCCATAGATGCATCTTATGTGGTATACATGGCAGGTGAACGGGCCCATATTCACTTTTGATATTTCCAGCATTCATGGGATTCAATCCCAATTTTAGTTGGTCAATTAATTAACGAGAACAAGCAATATAAGAGAATTCGTAAAGTACTTTATAGTTCTTTAATATTTACCCATGTGAATTCTCTATTATTTTTGCACATCATACTTAAATTGATATGGCCAAACCAATTATGCCAACTGAATAAATTATCAATATTGATAAAGTTCAGGTTTACAGCATGACGTGTGCAATTGTCGATAAACACCAAGTTTATTATGATATGGGTTTTTATATCAATAAACATCCACTTTAGTGTGATGTTCTTTTATTTGTGTAGTACAAACTGGAGAATAAAGCGGGTAGCTTTTCACATACATATTATCTCGCTACAAGTTGTAGTAATAGAAGATATTAAATCTTTCCTTTATTTATAGTCTCAATATAATCAACCGCTTTCGCATGTACTTTGGAAACTAAATAAGTTTCTTTGAGACTTACTACAACACAATAAATTGACATGATAATCAATTGCATTCCTCAAAAATAGTAATAATTGGCTCTTCCAGAGCTCTCAATTAATTTTGTACTACCACAGATTCATCAACATCCATGTGATGAATATCTCTTTTAAAGAAAAAGTTATACCATTGTGGTCATGGTCAAATTATATGCAAGATCTGTTTCTTGCATTATCATTGTCTTTTAATAATCACATTGCCATAATATTTTGGCGTACAATAAGTACGTGACCAGTGATCATTCATGCCATAATAATGACATTATTTTCTTATTTCATCTCAAACCTCCCTCTAGAGGTAAGTGTGGTATATTCACTACCACTAGCACGTTCATATTCTTCCAAGAATGAATATGTATTCATAAATTAGATGTTGTCACATTCACATCATGAATGGACAATAATCATCTATATGTGGTTTATAAAATCTCATGTCAAATCGATGACAAATATTACTTTCACAGAGTGAAGGATTATTTTGAGAATCCTTATTGTTCTCATTACCATAATGATGACAATTATAATTTCGTCCATTGCCACGTCCACATCCATTGACACATTCATAATAATAATTTTGTCTTCTTTCAGACTTATCACATTTTCTTAAGGGAATGAGAATGGAGCAAATTTAATGGGACGGGTTTTCAATTCTTTGCCCACAATCATACATGAATTTAATCATGGCAAGGCATAGAAATTTTACCACTTTGGGTGGTTATAACTTCTTTCAAACTCCATTAGAGTTGCAATCAAAATTTATCGTCTTTGCTTGTATTTAAAATCAAATTATAGAATGTCAAGAATTTGAAAGAGAAAAGTAAAATACTTACCTTAAATCCAGAATTTAATCATGAAGGAAGTTCATGGAACAATTGACAATCATTATGCTCAATCCCAAAGCTTCTACTCAATTGATTAGAGTCTAGTGCCGATAACGTGTGATAAAACAAAGAACAATATTACAGAGAAAGAGAGAGTAATTCTTATTGATATTTTGGGATGATTTACAATGAGGTAAGACCCCTCTATTTATAGGGGAAAAATGACTTAGTCACAACGTAAAACTCTCTATAACATAGACATTCACTCTAAATAGAATTCTATTCGTAACAAACTTTTAAATATGGTCAACTAATTCAGCGAATCGTGTCCAATAATTTTTCTCATATGAGTGACTACCCTTCTGTGGAAAAATCAGATAAAGTACTCCACCCAAAAAAAATTGACCCTAAGCAATATCATGAGCTGAATTAGTACTTAAAATACATAATCTTTATAAGGAACTTTTACCAGTGAGAAAATAGAGGAATTTACACGGAATGCAATTCGTTTAAAACTTATTTTAGTAAGTTATAGTAACTACTTTTAGAAAATTACATACATACGACTTATTTTAAAATCTACAACTTTTATCCCTAATATATCTCTCTTGAAATTTTCTCACCTAAAGGATATCCTTATATATCTCCAGATTCTCTCACCCAGCTATTTTCAATTAATATCTGAATTTGATTAGTAAAATTGTACCGTCCATTTTAATTATACAAAAATTCCTAGGTCCTATAAAACTTTCATGATCAAGTATTACATCAATTACGAGACTAATGATACATGAATTTTTGGCTAAAGGAATAATATATAACGTCATACATAATAGAGAAGAGCTTTTCTGCTACCAGAAAAGTCACTTACAATTCTACCCCATAATATATAATATATACTTAATATATGAATATAATAATATACTTGGTCATACAAATATATATATATATATATATATAATTACTGGTCATTATATGTTGGAAAAGATAAAAGAACACATCTTTCTGCGTAAAAATTACATAATATGTTGGAAAGAGAAAAGAAAACATCTTTATGCATAAAAATTATTTCAAGAAAGCACTAAGCAAGTGCTATACATGTATATGTCATTTTATTTCAAGAAAGCACTAAGCAAGTGCTATACATGCGTAGAAAACAAGCTCTACTTTCAAAGAGCTCAAATAATTCTTTATGCAAAAAAATGTGAACATAACACATCTTAATACAGTCAACTACATTCCCTTTCCGTAAACCCAACAAAATACTACTAAATGGTATGGCTATCTAGGTCTTCGTCCAATTCTTTGTACTGATGCACTTCCTTGTGCTTCCTGGCGATAAATATTAGAGGGGGAGAAAACATATTCTGGATGATGTAGTGTTGAACGTCTACGACAAGTTTCACGCTTGACATTTCACAACAACAGAGTAAAACTGAATTATGTTTCTACTAAGAACCTCATGAGAACATTTCCTCAATTCTAAATGAGCATGAATTTTGGATTACTCTTGTCTGTCTTCAGTTGCAGGCCTTGCAATTGAGGCACTTATGTGACCATAATATAGAATTTAACATCTGATGTTTCCTAGTCATTGGAAATGATTCAATTCTAAGTTATTTTTGGAGATTGATATGTAAAATAAGAACATATTTTGCATAAATTTGCAACAACAAATGTATGACTTCTCCATTGGGCATAGGTGTAGCTTCATTGTACTTCTTGTTCCATTGGGAAGACCTAAAGATGCTACTACATCAAATAGTAGAACTTAAAAGCATAAGGCGTCAGTCATCTCCAAAGAGCTTTAAAGCATGAACTATTAATCAAACTAAACATAAAATGAATTTACTGAACTACAAATTAAAGTGAAAAATCACCTACATATCCAATAGTAAGTTCCAGATATGGTTATCAATAGGAAAAATCAGTTAAGTTTTAGAATATATAAATACTTTGCTTCCCAGCATAAAAAAATATATTTATATTGTTATACCACGAAGTTAGCAGATATTTTCTAATGACGAAATACAAAAACATGAAGGCCTTATGTTATTGCTAATCCAAGTGAGATGCTTCTAGTTTCATTAATTGTTAAGTTAAAAAAATATCCCAAACAGTAGCATAGAAACTCTTTTGGTCACAAGTAACCAAGAATCTAATCCATAATGATCCACCTGCCAAGAGCTTTTACTTTGAGATCAAGCTAAAACAATGAATAAAAACAAACAATATCTCTAGAGACAAATTTATTTAAAGACGAAACTGGCCGGGCAGAACATAAATTTCTACTGCACCAAGAAACGCTAATGTTACCATTTTACGCCATTTTACAAGTTTCATTATTACGATACTGGGAACAAAGTAGAAGGAAATTTGTCAAGTTTCTTGAAACATTTTGAAGTTTACCGCAAATAAGTCAAGAATATCAAGGACTGAAATATCTCTATATTGTTGGACAATAAGATTCAACACACCCCTGCAGGCAGAACAAACTTAGATTTGTATACTGAATATTGGTGAAAAGAATGAAGTACGAACAAGTTAAGCTGTTGAGTTGTGGATTAGAGACACCAAATATTTCAAAAGTTTCGGTTTCAAACAAATTGCATATGTGCCAGTAAGAGAAAAATGACACATGAGACTATGAGTAATGCCTGATATTCTGACAAATAGAATTTGGTCTACAAAACAGTATAGTTAAAAGGAATAATAGAAGAATCTTGTGCGAATACAATAATTAATTTTATCAAACTACATTATAAAAAATCTTGAAGTGGTAGAAGTATACATTATACTAACCTCAGCTGCTACCATTTTTTTTGTGTCTAAGATAGCCATGTTATAGTTACCTGGTGTCAATAGCTAGGAATAAAAGAATTAGCAACATGCAAGATAAAAAGCATCATTGGGAGAATAGTAATATATGTCGAATACAAGCAAGAGAAGATCATAAGTTATTTCCATTAAGAGTATACAAGCCCTGAGTATGTTAATAGTTTCAAACCATAAATTACTGGATGTATCCAAAAGGCATTACTTAGAAGCATCACAATGGTATTCAGGCTCAAACTTTTTTCTGGTGCAGAAGTTTCTATAACCAGTTGGGAAATAAACTGCCTAGCAAAAGAAGATTTTTAAAAACTGTAACGGCCCTAGAAGATGAATGAAGGCAGTTTCACAGTATTCTATCTGCATGAGTTCTGCAAAATTACAAAAACAGATGCTCAAAAAATCCAAATAGAGAAAAAGAGGAGAAAAGATGAATTTGAAAGAAAATAACAAATCAAATGAACTAAACTAAATAAGACTTCAAAGTTAAGCATAATGCTTCAAAATGGATTAACTTTTTACTAAAAAGTTCCTCAAGATCGCTCTGGAGCAAATAACATTATTTAAGGTTGTCAAATTCAGCCATTCATCTTTACATCTTCGAGACGGGTTATTGAAGGCTACGAGGAACCTTACCATTTTACAGGGTAGAGATGAGACGACATCATAGAAAAATAAAATGAAGAAAGAAGTACAATAGAGGAAAACCAATCAAATGGCACTGAATGATGTGGGGTCCATCCCATAAATCAAGGAAGATAATTTTCTTCCTTTGATTGGAAGCCACCATCTTTTCTTTTGCACTATCAAATATGGTAGGTTGCATAAGAAAAAACGTCAAGATTGGTAGGCATAGCAAATCTGCAAGAGAGAAAAATGTAAAATGTAGTAGGCGTGACATCTGAGTGAAAGATAGAGAGCAAAGTATTCCATAGACTATAAGAAAATAGTCTGTGAAGAAAAATAGAGTGTGAGAGATATTGTAGTGAGGTGGAAAAAGCAAAAGAGTATTTTTTCTTTTGAGGGTGTAGTGGTCTTAGGAGTATTTGTACTTGTTACTACACAGTGTAAAATTCTTCGCTACAGTGATATCAGTTGCACTTCTTGGCCGTGATTTTTTCCCTTATTCAAAAGGGTTTCCGCGTAAAATCTTGGTGTCATTTTTGCTGCATTTTTATTCTTGCTGATTTAACCATAACTTAGTGGTCCGCATTTATCACTAATACCGTAAATATTATTTTTACGGGATTTATTCCCAACAAATGGTATCAGAGCCAAGATTCTGTCTGAGTATGCTCTGTGGTTGCAGCACATTCTGAATTTCCACATCAGAAAAGAATTACTTTAGTCTCATAATAAATAGTATTTGTATTTGTGATAAACGATGGAAGCCGACACTAGTAGAATGGTTACTTTGAATGGCATAAACTATGCCAATTGGAAGGGCAAAATGGAAGATTTGCTCTATGTCAAGAATTTTCATCAACCTCTCTTCGCCACTATAAAGCCTGATAATAAATCAGATGAAGAGTGAAATTTATTACACAGGCAGGTTTGCGGCTTTATTAGATAGTGGGTTGACGATAATGTTTTAAACCATATTTTTGGGAAAACACATGCTCGGACCTTATGGGAGCACCTTGAAAGTCTGTATGCTCGGAAAACTGGAAACAGCAAAATGTTTCTAATAACGCAATTGTTGAGTTTAAAATACCATGATGGTTCCGCGATGACAGATCATCTGAATAATTTTCAGGGGATCATGAACCAGTTATCTGCTATGGGCATTAAATTTAATGTAAAAATTCAAGGCCTGTTTCTACTTGGTTCCCTACCAGATTCTTGGGAAGTTCTTAGAACTTCATTATCAAATTCTGCTCTAGATGGTGCGATCTCTATGGATCTTGCCAAGAGCAGCCTTTTAAATAAAGAGATGAGAAGAAAATCTCATGATTCCTCCTCATCAGATGTCTTGGTGACTGACTCTAGGGGGAGAAGCAAGAATCGGGGTTCTCAAAATAGAGAACATAATAGAAGCAAATCCAGAAGCAGACTTAAAGATATTGAGTGCTATCATTGCGGGAAGAAAGGGCACACAAAGAAGTTTTGCCGGATTTTGAAAAAGGAGAATAGAGACAAGGAAGAACAGAAAGAAGATGGCAATCTTGTGGCCAACGTCACTACAGAAGATCTTGTTACTGTCCTTGATGCAAATATGATAAATATTGTTTGTGATGAGTCAAGTTGGGTTATAGACAGTGGTGTCGCATCTCATGTGACATCAAGGAAGGAATTTTTCTCATCCTATACTTAGGGTGACTTTGGAACTTTGAGTATGGATAATAAGACTGTATCTAGGGTGACTGGTGTTGGAACGATTTGTTTGGAAACTAGTATTGGAACTAAACTAGTTTTAAACAATGTAAAACATGCACCTGATGTTCGTTTGCACTTGATCTCTGTTGGTGGTTTGGATGATGAGGGATATGTTAGTACCAATGGTGCTGGAAAGTGGAAACTCACTAAGGGTTCCATGATTGTGGCTCGTGGGGAAAACGTCGTGGTCTATACTGGACTACGGCCTCTACTTGTGTTGATATGGTGAATGTCGTTGAGAGCAATAACTCATCAACGTTATGGCATAAGAGGCTTAGCCACATTAGCGAGAAAGGACTAAATGTTCTGGCCAAGAAGAAATTGTTGTCAAATTTTGAAAGTGCAAAATTAGAAAAATGTGAGCACTGCTTGGCTGGAAAACAAAAAAGAGTTTTGTTCCGGTCTCATCCTCCTTCAAGAAAGACAGAGTTGCTTGAGTTGGTGCATTTAGATTTATGTGGTCCAATAAAGACAAGGACTTTGGGTGGTGCACTTTATTTTGCTACATTTATTGATGATTGCTCGAGGAAACTTTGGAGCTACATCTTGAAGACTAAAGACCACGTGTTGGGTGTCTTTAAGCAGTTTCAGGCTTCAGTTGAAAGAGAAACCGGAAAGAAGCTGAAGTGTATTCGTACCGATAACGGTGGTGAATATTGTGGACCATTTGACGAATACTGCAAGCAACAGGGTATCAGACACCAAAAGACTCCTCCTAAGACTCCTCAGCTTAATGGTTTAGCAGAAAGGATGAACAGAACCTTCATGGAAAGAGTCAGATGTTTGCTTTTTGAAGCAAAGTTGCCTAATTCCTTTTGGGGTGAGGCTTTGTTGACCGTCGCACATGTTATTAATCTATCCACTATGGTTGCTTTGCAAAGTGATGTTCCAAACAGAGTTTAGTATGGCAAGAATGTTTCCTATGACCACTTGAAGGTGTTTGGTTGCAAAGCTTTTGTACATGTACCTAAAGATAAGAGGTCAAAATTAACTGCCAAGACAAGGCAGTGCATCTTCATTGGTTATGGCCTTGATGAGTTTGGTTACAGGCTATATAATCCAATTGAGAAGAAGGTCGTGAGAAGCCGTGATGTTATCTTCATGGAGGATCAAACCATTGAAGATATTAACAAAGCGGAGAAGCTAAAATCTCCAAGTTCTGAAGGTTTAGTTAATCTTGATCAAATTCCTCATACAAATGCGGATGACGTTGGTGGGCTCAATGATGATGGTTATGCCCAGAACCATATTTCAGATCAGTATATTGATGGTGATGGTGATAACAATGCTAATGCTGATGAGGTAAATGCTCTTACTCACGAAGCTGTGGACGAGTTAGATATTCCACTCAAGAGGTCCTCTAGACCTCGTACTCCTTCCTCCCGTTATTCGCCCAATAAGTATGTATTACTCACTGATGGGGGAGAACCTGAATGTTATGCGGAGGCCATAGAAGATGAGCACAAGGATCAATGGATTGAAGCCATGCAAGATGAGATGAAATCTCTGCATGAGAACCATACTTATGAGTTGGTGAAATTGCCTAAGGGCATGCGAGCTTTGAAGAATAAGTGGGTGTTTAAAGTTAAAGCTGAAGAACATAGTTTGAAGCCCAGATACAAAGCTAGATTGTTTGTCAAGGGATTTGGTCAAAGGAAAGGTATTGACTTTGACAAAATATTTTCTACTGTCGTGAAAATGTCCTCCATTCGGACAGTTCTTGGTTTGACTACCAGTCTTGATTTGGAGATTGAGCAGATGGATGTGAAGACTGTTTTTCTTCACGGTGACTTAGAAGAGGAGATTTATATGGAACAACCTGAGGGCTTCAAGGCAAAAGGTAAAGAAAATCTTATTTGCAAACTTAAGAAGAGTCTATATGGATTGAAGCAAGCTCCCAGACAGTGGTACAAGAAGTTTGAGTCTATTATGGGGGAGCAAGGCTACAAGAAGACTTCTTCAGATCACTGTGTGTTTGTATAAAGATTTTCTGATGACTTTATTATTCTCTTGCTATATGTGGATGATATGTTGATTGTGGGCAGGAATGCTTCCAAGATTGACGAG